CACTTATGCGTGTGAACAACTTTTTAGTCGCATGAAGTACATCAAATCACAAGTGAGAACACGAATTACTGATGTTCATTTGGAAAACTGTTTGCGTGTAGCGACAACATTAGTCGAGATCAATTTTGATGCACTTAGTTCTGTAAAACAAAGTCAGATGTCTCATTTTTAAATATTTTTTAATTGTCTAATAAATATGTTTCTCGGTTATTGAATAAGTGATTCTCAATTATGTTTAATTTTCTTCAAAAAAAATAAATATACCTATTTTTTTGTGTTTATTTACATTAAACCAGGCAAGTGTTTGACCACGATCTCACCTACTGGAAAGCAACGATGTGGTTGAAGCTGTAGCACGCTTGCTTGTTTACTTAAATTAACAAAAAAAATTAGGTGCGTGGCCAGGCAGGAAATATTATTTCTGAAATTTGGCCCGCCTGCTAAAAAGGTTGGCCACCCCTGTTCTACAGCATTCCACTTGTTTTCAAATTACAGGACATGCTGCATATTAAAAATTATTGCCTGTCAGCTAGAGCCTGAGATATTTTATGTGGATTTTCTTTCAGACACCCATCATTTTATATAAAATGCTATTGTTTACAGTAAAATGTACTATTCTTGATTTAGAATAAATTCCAAATAATAAAACAAACTTCATTTAAAATCTTCATATATATAATTTGTATTAAAAGTTAATTTACATATATAATCTAAAAACTGTCAGTTTTTCTAACAATTCTGTTGAGTATAGTATCATATTTTTTAATATGTTAATTCTTGACACGAACATTTTATAAAACTGGCATAAGGAAGCAACATAATTATCATTAAAATATTTGATATTTAACTGTAATTATCAGGTATAGTATTTCAAACAGCCAAAAAAATATCCATTGGTTTAACAACATATAATTTATTAATCAATTTTCTCTTGTAATAATACGTATTTTGGGTTGACATAAAATCTCAACCCCTCCAGTGAATCAGTGAATTTGTACGTGTTTTGTAAAGAACAACTATAGGTAAAAATTCAGGTGAAAGTACATATCCAGTGTTTATAATTTTATATGCATCTTAATCCTATAAGAATTGTTACATAGTACATCTTATAAAATTTAATATTTTTCTTTATCGTAGCTTGTTTATAATTTAAATAAGACAGGTACCTACTTATTGACATTTAATATATTCACATTAAAAGTAAAAAGAAACTTTTGTTTTCATTTGGCTGTTTGAAATACTACACCTGATAATGAAGGATTAAAATATTTCTAAAATTTTAGAATTATTTAAACTATTTAAAAAACATTCTAAGTACTGTAGAACATCAATTATCTGAGGCAATGTGGACCAATGCTATTTCATATAACTGAAAATGCAAGTAATGGCCACAGCTATTATGAATTAAAAATTACAAATATAAAATATTTATATGGTATATTACATTTAAGTCTTTTTTTATGCTTTAGTGAATTAATTATAAACTGTATAAGAATATCATTTTTTACATCATTTCTTACAGAGCTAATACATACAAACATACAATAGTTTTTAGAATAAAAATTTGCATTATTGTAGTTGCATTTTAATATGAATGGTTTGTCTCACATTGAAGTGAAATGATAAAAGATAACAGATGCAAACAGTTTTGTAATACAGTGCATGCTATCTATTGTTTTAAACTTTCTTTAAGAAATCCTTTATAGATTTTTGTTTCACAGTATTCCTCTGTTCTTTGTCACAATGTTCTGCAGTCATCTAGCATCATTTTTCATGAGCAAGTTATCCTAAATATATTGGGCTTTGTTCCTCATTACTTGATTGCCCTCATTTTGGGCCTGGCCAAAACTGCATGGAAAAAGATCTCTTAGTGCTCAAAGGACAGAAAAAGTTAAAAAAAAATGTTGCCTCAGCCAGTTTATTCACTCAGTACAGTAGAAGTTAAATATACTATGTACAGTACATACTTAGTGCATTCATAGTAAAGCTTTTACACTGGTGTGCAAAATACTTACACTTATGGCAAAAAAAAAAACAATTGTTGCTTAACTCCACAAGAAATCACCTGGGAGACATGAAATTCAGAATACAGAGACAGTATTTTGTACTTGATGAAGAAAGCATACTACACAAAAATGAATAGAACACATACAGTATGGAATCAAAGCCTCCTTCTTATTGTAGTCTTGCACTGCACGTGTTCTGTATAACATCACATCAGCTGTGATGTCTTCTTCCTGCATACGAATCACTTTCTACTGAATCGGGTGTTCATTGTACTGATCACAAGAAGCCCTTTTGTACAATTTCATGGCTGTCTGCTTAAAAATTATATTGTTGCTTAAGTTTTACATACCAGTGTATATTATCATTTTGGTGATAGGCTATTCTATCCAATTTTCACTAGATTTCTCCCAGTTTGACACAGCAGACAATTCTTACTTATAATACCATATTAAGGATATTATAAGAAGACATAGGAATTGTCTTCTGTGTCAAACCATTAATCAATCCAAATCATTCTGCTACATTACATACACTTTTTGTAGTTTTTATTTCTTTCCAACTAAAGCAATTAAATTACTTAGAAAAACTGTATGATTTTCAATACTCTATTTTTAAATGTATGAATTATATACAGTAGACCCCCCTATAACATGGTAGATATGTTCCGTTTTATATGAATTCCTTGTTTTACCAGTCACTTAAATACATGAGCCAATCACAGCCAGGCATGTATGCAGTTTACGGACTACAGTTGTTTGAACGGTTTTCTTCCATAAAATTAATCAATTCTAGACTAATTTGACTCAACATTTCCAAAACATGTGTAATTTTTTGGGAATAATCCATATAAACTATGCTATAAACAAAAAATTGTAGGATTACTTACCGAGTATGCACCGTTCGACGACACCATTGCTTAAGCTTGTTTTCATCATGGAACGGCACATTGAACAGCGGGTGCGTGCTTTCTGATAAGTTATTTTTCTGCGAAAAATTTGCTGAACTTTGGAGACATCATTAATATAAATATAATTTTTATGACCATTAAATAATAAATGGTTTTTAGTAGGTCCGCTACTCGTTTAAACTCAACGGTTTGTGCAATATTCGCTATTGGTCTAGATTCGACCAATCCTGTCACGACACGAGTCGGCAATGACATTTTACTGTATTATACGAGTCTCTTTTAGCGTGTTTATACGAATACAATTGTAATTTTTTCACCATTATATACAAATCCATATTATATGAGCCCGTTTTATAGGGGGTCTACTGTATTATTAAAATTAGTACAGTGGGATGACTTTTTTTAAAGTTAAATCAACAATTAAAATTTAATTTAAACAAAGACAGACTATATGATAATTGTTGCTCTTTGAGAAATTTACAAAATCAAGCAAAACACTGAATGATATTCATTGGATTGAGTTTATTAAAATAGCAAAAGATGGAGTTGACCAAAATCTAAAAAAATTAATATGATTTGTATTCTTTATCATCATCTAACACTGCCTGTAAATGAATATTTAGTTTTCTAGGGCAAATTTGAATAAATGAAAGAAACAAATTAACTATTGAACTGAGGAATCTTTACAATTTTGATATAAGATGTAAAAGATTTTGGAAATTTATAAAAAAAAAAAAAAAAAAATGAAAAGGTTTTAAAGGCAACACAAAGTTGGGAAAAATATAAATTTCTTCAGACTTTCTTTTGTTAAATTAATTAATTTAGATTATTCTGGAAAAAAGGATTGATCTGGAGCATATCTACACAGTAAGCAGAAGTTGCAAGCTTAAGTCCATTCCAAATGGTTTCTTTAACAATTATAAATAAATTAATTAATTTAGAATATTCTGAAACTTAAAATGGAAGCTTGACAACCTATCTTTAGTTCAAATAACATATCTTTATAATTAATTAACCATATTTTAGCTCTGTTTAAAATCCAGTAGTATCATTTGTCTATTCATGTATTTTTTTTTATCATAAAATCTCAAATACATTACAGATTCTACAACTTACAGAATTAACAATTAAAATTATAAAATTCTTACCTTAAGTAATTTTGAAACTTTAACAGGAACTTCTTTAGTCTGTAATGGACTTCTAATAAAAGCATCAGCAAATGTGTAGTGATATCCCTTACCTTCTTTCAGCTGATATTCTTTTTCTATGTTTTTAATATCAGCAGAAGAATTCTGTTCTATCTTGGGAATCTGTGGATTTTAAATAAAAAAAGAATTACTAATAAGAAAAATTATATTTATAATATTATCTATTTATAGTATCATATCATTCTCACTAAATTTTATTAATAATAATTCAGTTATTTATATGGTATATTACATTTAAGTCTTTTTTTATGCTTTAGTGAATTAATTATAAACTGTATAAGAATATCATTTTTTACATCATTTCTTACNTAAAATTGTTTCGGTTTATTATAGTTTTATCAGTAAATTTATTCAGTGCCAAATATGTTTTCTGGAAATGTTTTCCTTTGATGAGATATCCGACGATCTCTTCCTTAACGCAGCAATAGTCATTTAATAAGAATATTAAACACCTCCGAAGGTAGAAATGGTAAATTATAAACGACCGGTCGATGTTGTCATTACCATAGATATTAGCTGTTGGGCCGCTAGCCAATATATTAACACCACTCAATAGCAACTATGCATATCAATCAACCAAATCGGTTTCCGGATAAAATTCACGAAGGAGGAGTATTATTTATATTCTCATTAGCGATGACTTGTCGCATTCATTCTCATTAAATATGCCTTATTCTTTCATGGATTTAACTTTAAATCTTGAAATGATTTATCGATGAGAAGTTCTTTCTTCAATTAATGTTACTTGGATCTATAGCGCATAAATATTTAACTTACTTTTTCCTCTTACAGAAAAAAATTTTTTTGATTTATATTTTTCTCATCAGAGAAGATTTATTTAGATGAGTGATGCGTAAGAGCCTTGTTATTTGATCAAATTTTAACCTGTAAAAAATAAATTTCAAAAAGAATACTTTCCATATAGCTTTATTACTGCTGAAAAGAAATTTTATACGAGTGTAGATAATGAAAGGTATAAAAGTTAAAATATTATCGTTCGGAGAATTTTGCTTTTTTACGATTTAAGATAATTTTGTGTATAGCTAAATAATATTTAAACAGAGAATGAACATATGTTTAAGAAGGAAATAAATGAGTTTGAATTTCATGATTAATCTTCAATCCCACATCTCTTCTTATAGAAAACTGCTATTTCTTTATAGAGGTCTTTTTATTTAAATGTATTGAATGTTTTTTCAAGCTTTCTCAGCTCACCTTCAGATACAGATTCAAACCTGAACATTGAAAGTTCAAAAATTCAAGAAAATTCAAAAAAGTAAAGCTCCATCACATTCTAATGTTCTATAGCATGTTAAATCTGAATCTGAAGATGATCTGAAAAAATTCAAAAACATTCAATACATTTAAATAAAAAGATATCTATAAAGAAATAGTAATTTTCTATAAGTATTGTATTTACTATAAAAATCTAAAGAAATATCACTAGTATATATAGTAGCCACCATAGATTATCAAAATCCTATAAAAATGTGTTTCATTTGTAAAATTAAAGTATATTTTGCTATAAGAAACTGTAAAGAGTGCATTATCCATGCCATCATAAATATGAAAATGCTTTCTACTGACTGACAATCTAATTCAGCAATATTTTCATTAATTGTAGCATACATTGGTATAAAACCCATACAAAAGTGTTCCACTTTTGTATGGGTTTTATACCAGTACCCATACAAAAGTGACTTATGGGTATGAGCTTTGTATAAGCAAAATGGAAATTTTTAAACAGTTAACACTCCATAAAAATTAATTGTTGCTTTAAATACTAAAGGAATCGCTTAAGAATAACTCTTGTGAAATAGCACAGAATGTGCATTGTCATCAATCAATAATTGTGTATTTGATACAAAGAAGACATGAATATGGCAACATTAAAAGAAAAGCTGGATCAGGATGTAAAGGTGGGAGTATGCTATGCCAAGATAGGAAGCTAAAGCATGAATGTCTGTAAGAATGTACTGCTGCTTCTTTCAGTTTTGAAATAAAATGGGATAGGCATAAAAGTAAATGCATAAACTTTGCAACATAAGTTTATAAAATTATCATTTATGTAAGCCATTACTGACAAGCAAAATACACAGAGAATTGCTTATCTGGGCTAAACAGCATAAAGACTGCATGTGGGATTCTGTTATGTTTTTGGATGAATCCATCTTTAACCTATACAGATCTAATGACAAATTTTATGTCAGGCATAGAGAAGACAAAGTCTATAATAGGATTGCTTGATGCAGATAGTAAAGTTTGTAATAAGTCAAATGGTGTGAGGATGCATATCCAGTAAAGCTATCAGCAGACTATAGAGGAGAAGGTGGTATTATGGAACCCCAATTACATTTTAGTGAATTGTAAACAAGTTATCATAACTACACCCACATTTTTAGTGCGAAAAGTACTGGTAACTAGTAAACTAAATGTTCCTAATTGGATTTTTCGCTAGTGTAATTATAAGTATGGTTTTTGAAGGCTTTTGTACAAAAAGTCCGAAAGTAGGCTTAGAGAAAATCGGGTGGTAATATGGAACCTTACTGTATATTTTCAAAAAAATGCTTTAATGTAGCCAAAAACAAATAGGAAAGGACAAAAAATGTTAAATAATTACAAAATTATTTACTCCAATGTATTTTATCGCAAAAATGCTTTTATAATAGAAAAATATGACCTCCATCAACAATATATATTCCAGCAGCTCTTTTTCGATATTCTCAGGAAGAATTGGCTTTCTACCTAGTGTCTTTTTCACAAATTGCTCTGGAGGAATGTCTGCTTGCAAATAGAAAGTTCGGAGGAGTTGAGTTCCATATTACTGTAAAAGCACCAATGGGGTCCGTATTTCACGCATCGCCATCTCGAATTAACTTATGTCTGTCAAGACCAAAATTTAAAAAACGTGAACATCACACAGATTAATATGTACCCCTAAGTCTCTGGAACGGAATACATGCACCAGTGAACCTACAACTACACGATTTATATTTTAAAAATAATTAAATTCACTTAGCATTCAAAACTTGCGAATTTTGAAAAAAACAAATTTGCTGATTAAATACGGACAACCGTTTAACTGAAGTAAAACGGGTTTTCCCCTTGCTATGGATGTCTGCCTAGTTCAGTTCAGCCACATTCCGCTACAGTTCGCCTTTATTATCAGTTCGAAATGGGGTGGTTCCATAATACCCGCAGTGTTCCATAATACCACCTTCTCCTGTACTATATAAATGGGTCTGTGAATGCAGAATACTAAAAAAATATCTTATCTATTAAGCTTGGAATTAGCATAATCCATCAATCCAGGTAAATTTTTGTGACAAAATTCTGCATCTTTCATGATGACTCTGCACCAAGATGATGAGTAAAGTATAATGTGTCAGGCTCTTTATGCTTGTTAGCATTATTGTCACTTAAACTAACCCACACATTGTTACAGATAGATAAAAAAGTAAATACAAGTGACTCTACAAGTATCAAATTTTATGATATATGAAAGTTTAATTTTTCCTCTTAGATAACAAAAGATTGATTTAAATGCATTATAACATTTACTAAACTACAGGATACAGCAGATTAACCTGATAATTTTTAAATGTGGATGTGATTGAAACTGTAAGAGTGTAAAGAATAATCTTGAACATACATGCTGTTTAACTTGAAACTATTTACTAACAATTAGAATTAGTGTAAGATGATAATGTAGTGCTATGCACTTGTTTTGTATTGTAATTTAATTTTTATTTTTTATGTAGTGTTATGCACTCGTTTTGTATTGTAATTTAATTTTTATTTTTGATATACAGTAATACCTCGACTTACGCTACTCGGACTTACGCGAACCCGGAGTTACACGATTTTCAAATCTCGTCAATTTGTCTTTTGTTTGAGCGCCACGCAACTGTTGATTACTCACTCCCCCCACACTATTGTTCAGTTTACATGTTTGGACGTATTACGCGGAACCGACACATAGCTACAATTTATTTTGTGTTATTTATTTCTGTGTTTGTTATATCTATGGAGATTTGAGAGACTCTATGTAGTGATTTATTGTAACTGTGAATGACTCAAAAGACAAGATAAGATTAACGAGAACATTTATTAGCTTAAATACATCCGACTTGGATTTTACACAAATTGTGAAATTTATACCCCAACTTACGTGAATTCGATTTACGTGGTTATTGCTCGGTCTCACCTATTGCGTAAGTTCAGGGTATTACTGTACTTTTATTATAT